TCATCAGTCCTAAATATCATCAGGCTTACCTATTTAGGCAATAAGAAAAAACAGAAACAGGAACATACTTTGACACAGTACCTGAAAAAAGAAAGTACTAACTCAATTAGACCTTTGGCCCAAGTACAAGTAGCTAAGGTTAGAATCAAATACACTGCATTGCACACGAACTTTACTTTCTCTCGCCAATATATATCTTGGCGCACGTTCGTTTCGTATGCCTTTTGAGTTTCATTATGCAAAATACCTAAATTTATGCTAAGAAGTTTTCTGTTATGTTATTTCGTTGTGTTATGTTAATTGTGTTAAAATATGGTGTGTGAAAATAAAGTTATGTTTAACGAAATGGAATCATGACTTTGAAGGATATACACCGAGCTATAAGCACCATAAAATGGTGACCCGGCTACTTGCGTAAAGCTGCATTCTGGTTGTTTGTTCAAGAGCTTGGTTCCAGGACTTTCGTATTTTTTCCCTTTAGCTACTATCATGGAGGAGTCTGCTGCTGTTAAGATACCAATTTACAATCCTATTGACCTGGCATTGCAGTTTTCTATGTGCGAATCAACTTTTGCTTTAGCCGCATCTAAACCTGTTACGGAGCCGAAGATGAAATTCAACTACTGTGTTGCTCATTTGCCGCCGGTATGGTGTATTTAATTATGGCAAAGCACACTAGGGCTATCTGCCTAAGGGAAGGGATGCCTTCGTGGAGGACTTTCTAAGGGAAAATGGCTCATATACCCGTTACACATGGGGAAAACCATGAAAACACCTTTAAAGTTCAATAATGGCTCATAACAACCCAAAATGGACTGAAATTCTGTTGGGTATCAGATCTGCCATTAAGAAAGATATAAATACTACTTCTGTGGAACTGGTCTACGGTACCACACTTAGATTACCCTCAGATGTGCTGAATGCTACTAATTTTGTATCTCCTTCCGAATCTTATGTGTCATAACTTCGATCAATCATGCATTTAGTTAGACCTATTCCAACCTCTAGGCATTTTCAATCATCAATTAATGTACACCTGACACTTCAAACCTGTTCTCATGTATTTCTGCACAACGATTCTGTTAAACTGCCTCTAACTCCACCTTACACTGGTCCTCATGCCGTGGTTAAACGTATGGACAATTTTATTATTGAGGTAAATAACAAAAAGATGACAGTTTCAATCGATCGTTTAAAACCAGCATATATGTGTCAGAACGTATAGATTCACCTGTAATTCTTCAGCTTCCACAGGAAGTCTACGAAGACTCAAAAATTGCTCCAAAACAAGTAGTTACGTGCAATGGACGTCGTGTTCATTTTCCATAAAAACTAATCACTGTAATATAATTGTAAATTTCTACTGTGGTTTGCTGCAAAAGTCATAGTGTATAAATACTTGATTAATTTTTTTTTCTTTTATGTGTATTGGAAGTTATATAAAATCCTTATTAACTTTTTATTATTTCTGTTTAACTAAGTTATGCATTGTATGGGTATATATATTTCAATCAGAATTTAAGTGCATTACTACTATTTATATATATTGTGTATTTCTTTACTTTTAAGTATAACTTTTATGTGAAAGTGTATATCTTGCCTGGAAATTTACAGCCAACCCCTTTCGTGTCGTGACTGTGTCACTGAAGGGATACTCTGTGGCAGTCTGATGTTTGGTTGCATGAGCTGCTAGACCACGTCATGCCGTGTTTGTAAAAACTGCTAACGCTGCAGTGAATTCACCCACTTCGCCCTTAGTTCGAATATAGGATGTACGAATTTTAGTTTAGTAGTTTTCTGTTATTTATTTTGTTGTGTTATGTTAATAGTGTTAAAATATGGTGTGTCAAAATAAAGTTATGTTTAACGAAATGGAATCATAACTTTGAAGGATATACACCGAGCCATAACCACCCTGCACCATACATTTAAACACATAAATTATGCAACTAACCAACTGAGCACAAAAATTCAGTCTCGCTAAAATGTTAGCCAAATCATTAGCTTTTGCCTGAAGCATTTGTTCATATATTAACATAATGAGATTTCTACATGTGGTGAATCATTTCAGCAATATTTCTTTAAAATCTTTATGCTTTCCTTTCTTGACTTTTTCCTCATACCCAGATTTTTTAATTCCTTATACGAAGTAAAAAGAAAGTACTACAATCTTGGAAAATTTCAGGTATCATATTTCAACAAAAATATTCATTTTGACTGCTATTGAATGCAATTTAACAATGTTTTTGCATACATCTTACGTAAGAACAGAATAAAGGACTCTTTTCCCCAAACAAATTACAAAAATAATTTAAAATGGATTCAAAAAGAGATTTTTTCATGGCATCTGTACATACATATGTATCTTGCATAACTCAAAAATGAGTAGCCTCAGAACGTTAAAATTGTGTACATAGGACTGCTAAAACATGTAGATATGCACCTCTTATTTTGGTTGCAATTGGCTGCACCAGAAGTATATAAATATATGTATATAATATGTCCACTCTGTTACTCGGCTGAGCTACTTAGCAGAATAGTGGATTTGTTGCCAATCTAGAGAAACAAAGCTTCATAACAACAAAGTAACCTCTTCTTTTATTATTGCAAATTAAATTTAATTTATTCTGGAATTATCCTTCAAGTTATTAAATTATCCCACATATTGACTCAGCATAGCATCCACAACAAATTCAGTCAGTTTCTAAGTCTTCGGTGTCTTTTTGCCGAGTGAGACCAAAAGTAAACTTTCAGTTTCGTGCAACGAAAAATCTATTTTCTTGTGTGCTGGCCAAATTGCTTGTTTTGATGAAGAAACTGTAATTGTATGTCTAAAAAAATTGTTTTTAATTGTTTTAACTGTATTTGGTGTTTTATGTTTTTATATATCTTTCAATTTTTAATATAGATATTTTGAGTTATGTATTTTTGCCTTGTTGCAAAGTGAGAACCGAATTAATTGAATAAGAAATATACCTCTAATGAATTTCAAGGAAATAAGTTTAAATGAAAAGCAGGAAAAAATGTGTACAATTTAATATTCCATACAAGGAAGTTATGTGGTGTACGCATAAAATTTTTTCTATAGGCAGCTCATCTTATTTTCAAAGCAGAAAGCTTTGTGTTTCCAATGAACCATACGGAAAAATTTTCGAGTCAGAAAATTTTCTTCAATACAAAAACTAGGTCAAGTCAAACAATATGTAAAGTTTTGCCCATCTGGAAAAGATCAAAAAAGATAATTTCATCACAATTTTGTCCTATCTGATGTCCAATGAGAAAAATGATCAGTTTGCCTAAAATACATTTTTGCTGCAAAGCAAAGATGAAGTCTTTATGAAGATTATTTTAATTTTGCAAAAAGACTTAAATAATGAAACCCCCTCAGTCTAAGAGCATGGAAAACAGCATCTCAGAACAGAGTTCTGACTTACACCACTAACATGAAAGGCATCGAGGCATCTGCATAAGTTCATTATCTCAGTGGTCACTGAATGACACAATGTGGTATTTTGTGTATTCTGATTTTCCCAAAACTGTATACCTGCTCTACATAGCTATTGTTTACAGCATAGAGAAAAATGGGAGGTGAGTATAAAAGAAGAATAACAAACAAAAAGTATTTTCCACTGTTTCAGTAGCCTACAGAATGATTTCAAAGGTAATTTCAGTTTAAATTTGCTGAAATTCCAGAAAAAATTATGAAAAACACAGATAAAAGAATTTTTCGCTCAGAGGAACTGATGATCTATGTTACACTCAATTTCTATACATACAGAGATTCTCTACAGCAGTGTTGTAGCTACAGAGGGTGGTCTACTCTGGAGGGCAGCATTTTTCATATGAAAAATTATTTTATAGGAGTTAGTCATAAGATCATTGAAACAGGTGAAGAATAATGTGATTTTAAATTGCATACTGAATTCAATCGAGGGAGGAAAAAGTTTTTACTCAAAGTAACATATTCAAAGAAATTACAAGGTTTCAACAACTACATATTCTTGTTGTACCTTTTTTATGCCATTGAAACTTTTGAATGAAAATTCTGGATATCAGCTAAATTATGATCATGGTGACAGTAACAAGGAAGAACTCCTCATTAAGAAAGAAGTACATCAGGAGTTTTATTTTCATTATTGTTAGGGAAAATGAGACAGGTTAGGTTATTTAATTACGGCAAAGCCTCGAGACTTATCTGCCTAAGGGAAGGGATGCCTTCGTGGAGGACTTTCTAAGGAAAACTGACTCATATACATGTTACACATGGAGAAAACCACGAAAACAACCATGCAGCCAGCCCGTTTGCAGGATTCGAACCTCGGACCGAACTACCAGTGTTCAGCGACTTAACCGTTCGGCCGCTGGTGGGGCCAAATGAGACAGGAATGTAAAAAAGCAGTCCATTTGAATTTTTGCAGTTTATTCTAAAATACACACTAAAGTTGCAACTATTATAATACTACTGAAAACTTTTAAGAAAAGAAACTGAGCATGACTTAAAAGTCTATCTGTTGTATCCAGGGATTCATTAATAAACAGGTTGCGCTATGTGGGGGTTTGAGTATAATTTAATTACCAGTTGGTAAACAGGTTTTTAAATTTAATCAAAATTCAGTTATAGGATTTGATTGTAATTTAATTGCCAGTTAATAAATTGGTTTTTAAATTTAATTTAGATTTAATTATTTAAAACCAGAAACACAAAACTAACTTTTAAATTTAATTGAGACTTGTTTAATTAAAGTAAACCTAATAACTTAATTATGTTAAAACAAAAGTGTAAGTATTTAAAAGAGCTTGAGGGTGATTCTGCAAACATGTTTTTGCATGTATGCAGCTTATCAATTTATACAACTGCATATGTTTAAAAATTTAAAGTCAAATGCAGTTGAAATTATATAACACATACCTTAAAACCTGAAACACTTTCTGGAATTCTCAGAATTATTAATACTACACACACAAAAAAAAAGGGGGGGAAAGAAAGAAAGACTACTTACGGTATTTCTGCAAGGCTTTCAACTGAACCAAGACTCTCTGCCAAAAGGAAAACTTTAAGATTTCCAACAAAAATCTTAGCTTCTTTCAAACTACCTTTTAAATAAAATGAAACCATTCCACTAAATCCTGTACACTGTTTCTTTGCAAGTTCATATTGAGGATAACTTTTAAGGCCTATATATATGAAAACAAGTGAATGTATAATCTCAACACATAATCACAATTCAAAAGCAATAAATGAAAAGTACTTTTGCACAGTTATAATTTAAAAATGCACAATAGCTACACTATTTACGTTAAAATACATACAGCATAATAGAGTAATAAAAATATGACAAGTCTCCACTTTATAAAATCTTCCAAGTATTAGTAATACTAACCAATCCAGGTCAATATTAGATAGATTTAAATTCGCCTTTCAAATTTTAATTCTTAAACCTGGGTTCAAATCTACAGCAATAAAACAGATTTTGCTAAATGCCTGCATTCGGAGATGGGAGATAGTTATGAAGATGTTGATCTACAGCTAAGAAAATGTTGATCAAAAATGAAAGTTTGCATCTAGAAGCAATTTTTTCAAAATTTGTTTCATTAAATATCAAAATATTTTTTATTTTACACACATATATTAATTTATTGAATGGATTATTAATACCAGAATTTTCCTGTTTACATCATCAGTTAGAGCAGGAAAAAAAAACAGCAGAGAAAAAATCTTTTAAGAGATGTTTATTCTAAGTCTTTAACTTGGAAAATTTATTAAAAACTGCTCAGTATTTTTGACCATTTCGCATCCTTTATTTTAAAATTTGAACATTTAAAAAATAATCAGTAATAATTTTTGGTACTTATGTATTACCCATTGACTGTGAAACTGTTGCCAAGGCATGCAATTTAGCGCTAGTTATAGGTAAGCATGATGTAACACATTCATAACATTTGCACTTTCATTTCATGAACTTTGACAGATTCACAATAAATCACGTTTTGTTTTTATGAAAAAAAATATAAATTTATTGTTACAGCTGTACTATTTATCTTCTTGCTTTTCGTAAAAAATGATTAAATCTTGTATCCTACCTTTTACGGAACAGTAAGCAGTGGACTATTTTCAAAGTTAACGGGATTCTACATAAAAAAATAAGTGTATTAATAAACATGATATGGTCAGCTGAATATGGCCAAAGACACTGCTGTTATTGTTGCTGCTTATGCTCACTTGTCTTACGTAGCTAGCCCAAGTGCATGAAATTCCTCCTGGCAAGGAGTGTTAGGTTACGTCTGCCATTGGCAAAAGCCTTGAGCACTATTCAGGTGACAGTGCGATTTAGCTCAGTTCCACCTCCAATTTTCATGGACAGCATCCCGGGAAGGGCTCTGAGGGCTCCCACCCCTCTCCCCTTCCACCAAGCCACACTAGTGGACTTTTGACTGGTCGCATATTTAGAATGCACCATGGTGCACTGACACTATACATTAACAAACATCCATGCCTTCTCCAGGATTCGAACCCAGGCCCTTCGGCATGGCAGTCAGCGATGCTAGCCACTCAATCAGTTGGGATACAGATTGAAACAATTACCACTAACAGATTGAAACAATTACCTATGTGCTCCTAACTTCCTAAATAGAGTCCTGTAAAATTTGAGTGTGCAACATAGTAATAGAAATCAACAAAAGCCTTTTTACGAAGCACAGAAACAAAGCAGGTTGAGTAGTAATTGTTTCTTGGATGCAAAAGCATCATTTTATTGAGTATTCAGCAGAAATAACTGGCCCAACTTTAACGAGATCTCAGCTAACATTAATGATTTAATGGTAGCCAACTTTCACTGTTGATGGGATAATACGCAAGTACATAATTTAAAAAAAAAAAAAAAAGAGTCTGAGTATTATGAGAGATGACATTCTGATTCATGGTGAGATGGAGGAAACATAGCAATAAAACTTGGAGCAACTGGTTCAAGAAATTCAAAATGACAAAATATAAATTAAATGCTAAAATGAGTGTGTAAGATAGGCATCTAAGGAAATTATTTGGAGAGCAAATGTAACACCTCAATACATCAACAAGTAAAAACTACTTAAAGCATTTTTTTTTTTTTTGAGAACATAAAACATAGAATAAAAATTAAAGCATTTTTTTTAGAAATGTTTAAATTGAAATATAAATATTTTATATTCGAAAATTTATGAGCAAGTCTATAAATTTAATATACAGGTAAATGAATAAATACAATATAAAAAATTTCTCATAATGTAAACTGGATAAGAATTGGGGAATGAGATACAAGAGAATAATAACCATTCGCAAACGAATGCCAGCATTTTCGCAGTTAAAAAAATTATTTTCACACATACGTTACAAGTGGAGCTGCACCATTATATTCATGCTTTAAATATATACAGTCAAAAGTCGTTAATCCGGAATGATCTAAAATCCAGACCTCAAAGCTACAAACTTTCTGTGCATGCGTCAACGCATAATGCATCCACGCATGCATGCAATACTTTTACGCATGCGCATACGCATGTGCGTTTAATGTATAACGGACGGTATACAGTGGTGGCTAAAATTGTGGACACTTTTGGAAATTTTTATGTTTTTGAACTTTGTATGCTTATAGAAAACGTTATGTTTAACAAAATGCAAACTTGTACATATCATTTTAAAAAGAATTTATTACTGAATTCAATACAAAACACAAATTCAATTATTTGCAATACAAAAAGAGTTAAACGATAATAGTTATCGATTACATTAGATAGTGATGATTGCAGTGATTTATCAGTACTTAGTAGGGTACCCTTAATTTTTTATTACAGCTTCACATCAACGTTTCATTGAGCTGACAAGAGTTTTAAGCTCTTCTTTCGCTATTACATGATGCCAGGAAACAATTATAGCCTCAATTAGTTCCCTTTCATTTGATGGGCGCCTCATTCGGATAAGAGCCGAATGAGGCGCCCATCAAACGGTGCCACAAATTTTCAATAGGATTGATGTCAGGACTGTTTCCTGGCCATAACAACAATTTAATGCTCTTTGTATGAAACCACTCTTTCGATATTTTGGCCGTGTAGCAAGGAGCAGAATCCTGCTGAAAAATAAACGAAGCATTGTTGGGAAAGAGATCTCAGATGGAAGGTAGAAGTTTTGGTTCAAGAATAGTGTCAATGTATTTTCTGGCATTCAGTGTCCCATCGATGACATGAAGGCGACCAATACCATATGCTGACATGCATGACCAAATCATAACACTAACTGGGTTCTTCACAGTTGCTTGAATGCAGTGAGGATGTAGCTCTTCTCCTATTCTAAGTCTTACATATTTTAGCCCACTACCGAATAACGATATCTTAGTTTCATAACTCCATATAACTTATGACCACTGATCATCTGTCCAATTAATGTGTTCCTTTGCCCACTGTAGTCTTTTTTTTTTTTTTTCGCTGCTGAAAATTGAAAATTAAGATAATGGTTTTTTCATGGAATTCTACCTCTCAGTCCAACATCTGTTAATCTTCTCCTGATTGTTCTTGAACTGACAGAAACACCAGCATCACTCAGATCACTTCTGATGGGCGCTGATGACATTTTCCTATCTTGGAGACATAGTCTTTTTATTCTTCTGTCATCAATAGATGTGGTGCACCTTTTTCAGCCTTTTCCTTCTTTGTTTTTTTATTGAATTTGTCTCCTGATATCGTAAACAAAACTTTCGGACTCCAGATGTAGTCACTAAACCACCCACCTGTCTTGCAATTTCAACACAGGAAAGACCACTTTCTCGTATCACAATAATATTACATCTCTTTCTAGGTGTCCAATCTACTCTTTTATTTGATGTCATTGCTTCTTGACTAAATATTAAAAATTTTACAAAAATTCCTACTTGTAATTGCAGTATATAAGAAAAAGGTCCTCCTTCTACAGAACAAAGCAAAATAATGAATTGTTTCAAGTGTAAACATGATGTCAGCTTCTACTGGCAGTTACTAACATTTGATTGGTTCTCAGAACAAGAACAGTGATTGGCCAGGAAAGCTAGACATTACTAACCACTTCATAACTGTGTTTTTTATTTATATTAAAGTACATATAACTTTTTTTTTGTATTGCAAATAATTGAATTTTGTGTTTTGCATTGAATTCAGTAATAAATTTTCTTTAAAATGATATATACAAGTTTGCATTTTGCGAAACGTAACATTTTCTATAAGCATACAAAGTTCAAAAACACAAAAATTTCCAAAAGTGTCCACAATTTTGGCCACCACTGTAAGCTAAGCTAAAATTATCTAATTACAGTCAAAAGTCGTTAATTCGGACACCCATAATACGGACCTCAAAGCTACAAACTTTCTGCGCATGCGTCGCTTTGACGCATACGTGTAAGACCTTTATGGCTGCGAATATGTGTGTGCACATGCACATAATACGTTTACGCATGCACATTTAACGTATAATGGACGGTATAAGCTAAGCTAAAATTATCTAATTCAGTTAATGTTGCAGATTGCGTTGTTCCTTAATCTTCGAATTAGATCCGGCTTATTAATTTTTGCAGACTGTTAGAGCAATTTTATAACAGTAAGCTTGAACTTTCGATTATGCCAAATAGAATTTTCAATATATGTTTACTAATATGTAAAGGAGCTACAAAGCGAAAGTATGTTTCGAAGTCCATTAAACAAAAAGTGGGATTCCTGCAAAAAATGGATAAATGCATATCCTTTGTTTCTCTAACCATTCCAAAATCTGTTTATCAATTTTACACTGCTCTGCGGGGGGGGGGACGTCGTGGCGCGCAATGAATTGGAAGTTGATCTGTCAACACTATCCTTATCTTCAGGGCAGATGTTTTTATTTTATTTAGTTTATAATTCCTTACTAAATGTAGTATTTCATATCGATGTACTCCGTCTTTGATATGATTTAAATCAATCTTTGATATGATTTAAATCAAATTCCTCGTCATTATAATTCGCTTTCGATAGTGAAGAAAGTGACACAGAGGTTATTGAAAACGAAAAAATTTTGATTGACAAATTAGTCGGTATTCTCGACACAGACACAGCAATTATAGGACTTCAACAGCGAAGTTTTGTAACTGAACAGGAAATTATGTCTGTTTATAGAATTAAAGAGAAAGTATTATCACATAAAACTAAGCAACTTAAACAACTTACATTGAAAGAAATGTTTAATAAAGTAAACAAATAAATATTAAGCTTTTTTTGTAAATTTTGATACCCTTTAGATCATAATTGCTCTTTCTTTCATAAATTACGTTTTCATATTTTTAATTTTATAATTTCTGCATGCCATCTTACCAGATTTAAACTGATGATCTATAATCTGGAAAAATCGATAATCCGGAATCGCCGAAGTCCCGATGAGTTCGGATTAACGACTTTTGACTGTATGTATAAAAAATAATAGCTGATACCTGGATAGATAACCTTCTCAACAGCTGGGTGTTTTTCTAAAAATTCAGCTATAGCCATTGCATTTTGCATGTGTCTTTCCATTCGCAGGTGAAGTGTTTTTAATCCCCTGTTCACCAAGAAACAATCAAAAGGTGAAGGCACAGTTCCTAGAGCTTAAAAATATAATAAATTTAACATTTTTATAGTTGTCAGAGGTTTAGAAAAAAATATTCAACATATGTGACAAAGTAAAAAATATATAAAGAAATCTCAACATTGATCTATCTCAATAAAAACATTTACAATTTATTTTAAATACTTTTTTTTTTTTTTTTTTTCATTTCATGCTTAGAAATACATTTCATGATTAAGCAATTACTTAAATATTTATTACAACCTGAACACACACATACACAGACACACCTAAAAAAAAAAAAAAAAAAAAAAATCAAAATACTTCATGTTCATCATGCCAGAATCTCACTGTAATATTTGTACATAGTTTAATTTGGCACATACATTTGTTACTTTATAATGTTCTGATTTGAAAGCACACTATTTATTTTAAATACAGTGGAATACTATTAAATACATCAATCATGATATTTCTTACAATCAAATAAAAACACAAATTAATAAATTACAGTCTGCAAATTATGCCCATATACTTCATTGCACTTACTCAAATCAACTTTTTTAACATGCAAAGTTATTGATTACTTATTGTTATTCTCTTACAAGTTAAATCATCAAATTCCTGTGTGCAACAGATACTTAAGATTATCAAGCATTACTCATTCTACTATTTTTTTTATTTAAATACTATTTAAACCATTGCAAAAACATACATAAACATACACAATGTTATGTAATAAGATCTTTGTACCTTGCAAAGCTAACAATTGTGTTTTCATCTTTAAAACATTTTTTAGATCTTTTTTCAATTCAAATTCCTTCGTACAGTGATCTGTATTTTCATTAGTCCTTCACATGAGGGTATACTGAGAAGATGTTCAATATGAAAATATGAATTAAGTTTTCTGCATTTCCAATTTTCGCTTACAAATTGCAATGTCAGAATTCAGTTATTGGTACCAATCTTTCACCCCCTACAGTAATGATTTTGTTACTATTTATTTTCATCTCTTCTTTTTCAGGTAATCACCTTTCTTCAATCCATATTCTTCTATCAAGTTTTGGGTATTTAATTCAATTGAGTGATTTAAAAATATCTTTTTCGTTTTAAAATATCGTTCTTCATATGGCATGAAGTTCTAAAATGTTTTAACATCAATTAATACTTCTTTCAAATGATGATCCTGATTTAGACGAAAATTACATTATGATAGTCATATATTGACTTGGACTTACTTAAATTGCCTTTTGGCTAGCGTTCTAAATTTAGAGCTCAGTGGCTGGCCTAACTTTGTAGAATTCTGAGCTGTGGGTGAGAGCTTTGTAAATATAAACACTACAGGAAGTGTCCAGAATGCCAGAGTTCCCAGTGTGTGAAAGAACAGAAATTTTCATAACAAATTGTACATACAGTTTTATATTAGACAATGCTGCTAGTTAAGTTGACAACAAGTCACTAAATACAGTATTACTGGATCAGTGCAACGAAATTGATTAGAATAATTACATAAGAACCTTGCATAATAAACACAGAACTTTGATGAAACATTTGCTCTAAAACGTAGCATAATAAACTTATCATGATAGCATAAAATACTAGAGATTTTTTTTTTTTTTTTTTTTTTGTCTCCGAATAAGTTAGCAGGGTGCAAGCTGTATTGTAAACCTTCTGAAATTACATAGTCCAAATTTTTGCAAAGATGGACAAGTTACTTGACTATTTTTTATTCTAGAAATTTTCAATTTCACTATTAATGTTTACAAATAGCAGCACTTTCGGCATTTGTCTAATGGTTTGATATGACAGTAAAATCCTAATGAAATTTTTTCGAAGAGTGAGAATGAACCTATTCAAAAAATTTGCTCGGGCGGAGAAGCATACATAATATTTGGCCTAATTAATGATGTCTCATTATGAGGCCTATTAGGAGAGTAAAGAACCTCTTGCAGTATGATCTAATTGAAGTTTTGGCAAGAACAGCTTGAGCTTTAAATTACACTAATGCTTTAGCATAGCAGCAATTTCTTAATGCTTCTGCTGGAAGAAATTGTTAATAAGCCTTACTCTGAAGTTTGCCCAACTTAACGAAATTACCTTTTTTTTTTTTCAAAATTGAGACACTTACTGTAATATACTTTTGCTTGTATTTATAAATTATGAATACTTTTGATTATTTTGGATGATTTAATCTTCATTCTTTACCCCATGCTCAGCTTCAGACATTTTATCTGTATCCTTTCTACTGCATGACTAGGTCTTCAACATTTAGATTAAATGTGGTGTCATCTGCATGTCTGGAATGTCATAGACAAGGATTTCTTAAATAAGTTCAAATTAACGATTGTATCACGCTGTATGAATTGTGTGCTATCAGTGAGTTGTTTCATTGTATGAGAGGGAGTAACTATTAAGTATAAATGATAATAATGATAATCAGCTATCTTTGAGATGAAGCTGATTAGCTTCATAATCTTATGCGAAACACTGTCTAAAACTTTCGCCACTTTTAGTATAAGGAGTAACACTTTGTTGTTGTGAATATCAGCATTAATAAATTTAACTATGTGCCAAACTTGCATCATGTTTATAATCCTTTTTGGAACCAATTTGGTTAACATATGTTTCTCTGGTCTGTTCAGTGTGATCTTTTATAGATTTTACCACAGATGAAAGTAGACTAATGGCTTATAGCTTCCTGTATTCTCGGGATTCTGCCTTGTTTTTGAATGACAATATATGACAATATAAATAAAATTTTCAGCATTCTAAAATTTAATAAAATGCACATCTATGATTTCAACAAATATCTATTACTCAAAACAAAAACTGACAGCAACAGAAGTAATTAAACTCATGTGCAGATGATTAAAAATTATGCTATTTTAATTATTTGGTAAAAAAAAAAAAATAAGCATTGATAATAAAAGTTAAAACCCCATAAATGAACTATTTACCAATATAAAAACCAAAATTTCAAAACAAAATATAATGAAAAGCTACTTTTACCATTAAACCTAAATTACTTCCTTTGATTTTACATATCAGTGTCTAAAATTAAAAGTATATGAGAAAATTCTAGTCACTGCCACCTCATAAAAAATGACTTTGCATTATAAAATACAAACAATTAGTGTTACATAACAGATATTAAATTCAAGAAATGTTTTCACAAAATTTAAAAGTGACATACGGCCAGTATAGGATAACGAAAAAATTACAAATAACTTTTTAATACTGCCTACCACTTTAAATTTTAATATTTATCCTAATATCTAATACACTGACTGAAAGTGAAGATCAATGCTTTAAATTGCACAATGAAAAGCAGATCAGTGACCACAGAAACTGCTTATAAAGGGAAAAGATTGAATCTTTGAAACAAAAAGATGGTTCTTTTCAGTTCTTAATGAGGAAACGTAAACACACTCATTAGTTTTCTGACTAAACATAGTTCTGGATATCTTTCCATCCATAACCTTAGTGCAAACAAAGCTCCAAGTTTAGACCAATACAATGCTTATGAACATTCCTGATAAAATGATTGGCACACTAAGTATAAGTAGCCCTTTTTAATGCATGTCTAATGTCTCTATAACTAATGTTTCCATCAGGCTTGGAAGAAAGCAAATATATTTGTCATTCAAAAACAAGGCAAGAATCCCGAGAATACAGGAAGCTATAAGCCAATTAGTCTACTTTCATCTGTGGTAAAATCTATGAAAAGATCACACTGAACAGACCAGAGAAACATATGTATAACCAAATTGGCTTCCAAAAAGGATTATAAACAATGATGCAAGTTTGTGCACATAGTTAAATTTATTAATGCTGATATTCACAACAAACAAAGTGTTACTCTCCTTATACTAAAAGTGGCGAAAGTTTTAGACAGTGTTTCGCATAAGATTTATGAAGCTAATTCAGCTTCATCTCAAAAGATAGCTGATTATCATTATCTATTCATTTATACTTAATAGATTACTCCCTCTCATACAATGAAACTAACTCACTTGATAGCACACAATTCATAGCAGCGTGATACAATCGTTAATTCTTGAACTTATTTAAGAATCCTTGTCTATGACATTCCAGACATGCAGATGACACCACATTTTAATCTAAATGTTGAAGACCTAGTCATGCAGTAGAAAGGATACACGATAAAATGTCTGAAGCTGAAGCATGGGGTAAAAGAATGAAGATTAAATCAATCCAAAATAATCAAAAGTATTCATAATTTATAAATACAAGCAAAAAGATACTATTACAGTAAGTGTCTCAATTTTTGACAAAAAAAAAAAGGTAATTTCGTTAAGTTGGGCAAAGTACTTCAGAGTAATGCTTATTAACAATTTCTTCCAGCAGAAGCATTAAGAAGATTGCTGCTATGCTAAAGCATTTAGTGTAATTTTAAAGCTCAAGCCTGTTCTTGCCAATAACTTCAAATTAGATCATAACTGCAAGAGGTATCTTTACATCTCCTTAATTAGGCCTCATTAATGAGACATCATTAATTAGGCCAATAATTATGTATGCTTCTCCTGCCCGAGCAAATTTTCTTGATAGGTTCATTCTCACTCTTCGAAAAAATTTCATTAGGATTATTACTGTCATATCAAACTACATTAGACAAATGCCTGAAAGTGCCTGCTATTTGTAAACATATTAATAGTGAAATTGAAAATTTCTAGAATAAAAAATAGTCAAGTAACTTGTCCATCTTTGCAAAAAATTTGGACTATGTAATTTCAGAAGGTTTACAATACAGCTTGCACCCTGCTAAACTCTATTCTGAGACAAAAAAAAAAAAAAAAAAAAAAAAAAAAAAAATCTCCTAGTATTTTATGCTATCATGATAAGTTTTATTATGCTACGTTTTAGAGCAAATTTTTCATCAAAGTTTCTGTGTTTCATTATGCACAGGTTCTTATGTAATTATTCTAATCACATTTCTTTGCACTGATCAAGTAATACTGTATTTAGTGACTTTTGTTCAACTTAACTAGCAGCATTGTCTATATATAAAACTGTACTGTACAATTTGTTATGAAATTTCTGTTCTTTCACACACTGGGAACTCTGGCATTCTGGACAGCTTTCCTGTAGATGTTTTATATTTACAAAGCTCTCACCCACAGCTCAGAATTCTACAAAGTTAGGCCAGCCCACTGAGGCTCTAAATTTAGAAAGCTAGAAAATGGCAAAAAGGCAATCTAAGAAACAACCTTAAGTATGCAAGTCCAAGTCAATATATTGACTATCAATAATAGTAATTTTCGTCTAAATCAGGATCATGCATTTGAAAGAAGTATTAATTGATGCAGTTAAAACATTTTTAGAACTTCAATGTAGCCATATGAAGAACGATACTTTTAGAAACGAAAAATGATATTTTTAAATCACATCAATTGAATTAAATACCTCAAAACTTGATAGAAGAATATGGATTGAAGAAAGGTGATTAGTAACCTGAAAAAGAAGAGATGAAAAATAAATAAGTAAACAAAATCATTACTGTAGTGGGTGAAAAGAATTGGTACCAATAACTGAATTCTCTGACATTGCAAATTCGTTTAAAGTCTTACATACAAACAAGCCATTAAGCTGTCAAATAAGATATGTATTAAAGAAAAACTGCTTTAAAAACATAAATATATCACCACAGCAATAAGTCTGTGAAATTTTAAAAAGTGAGGATACAGCATCTATAGTTTCTCTGCACATTTCTATTGAAACACCAGAAAACATAACTTCATAATAACAGATGAGCCTTGGTTCTGTCTTTACAATTCAAGCCAAGTTCAGTACATCAGTTATGACTAAAATAGGAAAGGTTTATTTGTTCAGACTTCAGATACACATTCTAAAAGTGCTGTGGTTTCAATAAATATTCATCTGAAGAGAGTAACTAACCTTTGTTCTTCTCATGAGAGACAAATATACTCAGAATCAGGCTCGGCTCCAACATTTTCAGTTAACTAAGCAATCAGCATAGTTGGTACCCATAAAAATTGAATAAAGCATCAAAAGTACCTTTTTTTTATTAACCTGCAAGTGTCAGATTCATTTGCAAATAAGAGCAGAGGGTTCAAAATAGAGAACCAAGAAACTAGTTTTATACAACAAGTGATAAAATTGCTAATTGGTGATAAAACTGTTATTCAGTTATGGCAAAGTATACTAAAGTTATTTCCCTATAAAGAACTATGTGGATGACTCCAAAGGAAAGTAATAGTTCATAGTTACCTATGCAGAAGGAAAAATCACAGCAACCTATTTCTGCCAGTTATATGGCAGAATTTGCAGAAGTTACCAGTGCATCATGATTTTATCCCTTGGTCAGTCAATAAAATTGTTTAAAATGCACTTGGATGAATAAATATTATGAACAACCATGAGAAAAACCTAACACGAACATATTACACTATTTTCTTGTTTATAAGCTGCACTTTTTCACAAAAAAGCAGATGAAAGTTAGGAGTGTGGCTTATACATGGAAATGATTTGAAATTAGCACATAACAAACACTGGGTAAACATTAAATAGGATTATATTAGTTGTGGTAGCAGATCTTGGTGACCAACTATGGGACACTGATACCAGTGATAGTGACACTGGTATTGCAAGCCACTACTCTAAACTCTACTAAAATCAAAACAGTGCTATCAATAGCAACAATAACATAAAGGTGCTGAAACAGAAACATGTTCCTTTTGACAAATAATAAAAATTTTGCCTCCTTTGTGTGGTAAGCAATGTTTTCCTTTTAGCACCTCCAAATGAAAAAATATTCTAGATCGTAATCAGGCTATTCAAGCCTTATCCACAAAAAAGTGTTTTTTTTTTTTTTTTTTTTTTTTAATTACATGTAAAAACTAAGGGTGTTGTTTATACACATGAAATTATGGCAATTCTCACTCTCTGTTAAAAGAAGTTTTAATTTATTCATAGTGATGTCTTTCAAGACATTTAGGAGACACTGGAGGATATATCATTTAATAAAAGACATTTAAAACAAAAGTTTAATGTCAAAAATATATCATTACTAACTACACTTTGTTTATTTGGGATTTATGCAAATTAGAGAGAGAGTTAATATTTAAGTCAGAAACTACAGAATTAAAAATTAACTAAAATTCATTTAAAGACTATATGAATTAGTATAGTAGCTAGCAGTGAGTAGATATGCAACTATCAATAGGTACAGACTTAACTGATTGCATTAGACATGCTGTCTCTCCTATCTGAGGTGGATACAGTTTAGTTTTGCAGTAAATACCCCATGGCATTAGTGATGATAAATTACAGAAATGATTCCTAGATTTTACCAACTGATATAGAAAGTCAATTAGCAAATGCTCACCCATGAAGGGAAGAGATATTCACTTTGAAGACTAGATAGGATCTTGACTAGAAAAATTTTCAATATAATTCAGATAGTTCAAATTCAAAATAATGCAAAATGATTTACATTAAATTCCAGATAATAATAAACGAACAATGCTTTGTGAAGACTGATGCAAACCTGCATTTATACATATGGTCTAGCTCCATGAAAAACATAAGAAGAAAAGAGTAATATCTCAATAACACATAAATGAAACTTTATACAGTCAAAAGTCGTTAATTCGGACACCCATAAGCCGGAATGATCTATAATCCGGACCTCAAAGCTAAAAACTTTCTGCACACGAGCTGCATTGACAAATGTGCATAGGCGTTTACGCGTGCGCGTAAGACCTTTACGACTGTGCATATGCATGTGCGCAAGTGCAGAATATGTTTTCGTGTGCGCGTTTAATGTATAACGGACGGTATATGCTAAAATTATCCAATTATCAATTTCAGTTAATGTTGATGATTGCGTTGTTCCTTAATCTTTGAACTGAATCCCGCTTATTACTTTTTTCAGACTGTAAGAGCAATACTATAAAAGTAAACTTGAACTTTCGATTATGTCAAATAGAATTTCCGATGCTGGAGCGCCCAAAGGATCTACAAAACAAAAGTATGTTTCGATGTCCATCAAACCAAAAGTGGAATTGCTGCAAAAAAATGGATAAAGACATGAAGAAGGTGACAGAGAGGATAGTGAAAACGAAAAAATTTCGATTGACAAGTTAATCGGTATTCTCGGCACAGCAATTACGGGACTTGAACAGCAGAACTTTGTAACTGAACAAGAAATTATGTCTGTTTATAGAATTAAAGAGAAAGTATTATCACACAAAACGGAGCAACTTAAACAACTTACCTTGAAAGAAATGTTTAATAAAGTAAACAAATATTAATTTTTTTTTTTTTTTTTGTAAATTTTGATACCCTTTAGATCATAATTGTTCTTTATTTCATAAATTACGGTTTCATATTTTTAATTTTAGAATTTCTGCATGCCAACTTACGAGATTTAAACTGATGGTCTATAATCCGGAAAAATCGATAATCCGGAATCGACGAAGTCCCGACGAGTCCGGGATTAACGACTTTTGACTGTATGATTATTCTAAAAACTGACAGCGTGCAGAACTAATAAAGGTTTCTGCAAATAACTGGTTTATGTTGGATAATAAGGCCTAATAGAGATATCGCAAATTTATAAATTTACGTTATTTTTCACAATAAATATAATAATTAAAAAAGAAATAAACTAGTTTCATTTAGAAAATATTCTATAGCGTTTTCTTCTACAATAGCCAGTTCTACAATGCTTTGCTTTAAATCAGAGTTTCTTAAAGTGTGGGTTGCGGAACATGCAGCAGGGGGGGGGAGGTCGCTAAAAATTTCAGCAGTTTTGATATTTCTTTAACTTATTATAATAATTTTACAATTTACCAAATATTTTTACACAGTGTATCTGAAAATAGATAAAGATAAGATAATACAGACAAAGAAAAAATGAAAACGTTTCGATGCATTCTTCTTATACTATAAACGTTCATTTTACTTGCTTTGCATGTGACGCTGTCATTTCGTCTGTTACTTATTTAGAATTTTCACATTTTTCTATACCTTAATATTAGAAATTAAAGTTAATGACCTAAAACTTATTTTAGATTCTTTTCTATTTTTGACAGCTGTTTGTAAAAAAAAAAAATATATATATATGTAAACAAGTCATGATTAGATATGATCTACATACTAGAAATAATTTGCTTCTAGCCACCTCAATTTATAATGTCATAATCAATTTTTACATGCAAATAACAATGTACTGCTAGACAATAATGTAATTTCTCAAAATCAATTAACACAAAAACATACGTTACAGCACATAATGAATCGTCAAAATTGAGCTGGCAAAGTTTCAGCACAACTTCACAACAGTGCTTAAATGTAAGCTTTGTAAACAATTTTATAGTTCTTAACTAATTCTGATAGTAAACAGATCATGTTTACAAAAATGATTTGTAACATGGGAACATCCCGCCTGCTTCTAATGCAATATATAATGTCCTGAAACATGTTGCCTGTACCCACTACAATAGATAATACCTTCAAACTATGCACCTGCACAACTATGTATTTCGCAATGTATGTCATGTAATTTAATCCCTTTTACTTGAGCTAATTTAATGCTGAAAGGTAGGAATACTGTTGATGCCACAACTGGTGGCAGTACTTATAGCACTGAAGTCACATTTTCCCTCACGACTCGAGGAATAATGCCAGAATTTTGTAAGTTTTCTAGCTAGTGTGGGGGGCTAATGCCTGCTTACTTAGGGTAAATATTAGGTGGTCCCCTCACTTCTACATATCATAACAATAGTATATTACAGTAAAAGTGAAAAAATTGACAGTTTCATTCGCACATGTGTTGGATTTGCGCAATGCTTATGGGTTGCCACAAAATTTTCGTAAATATTATGGGGTCCCGGGATAGCGATAAAATCTCAGTGATAAAAAGGGTTTGCGACTGAAAAAAGTTTAAGAAGTCCTGCTTTAAATAAACTAGGTTTGCTACGTCAATACTTACAATTTTGGAAATATTTCATTTGCTTGTAGATTTCTTCATTGTTTGTAGCAATAGCACCCATTACAACATCAGAATGGCCTACAAATTATAAAAAAGAAGGGCTTTTAAGTTTAACAATTCATGTTTTTAATAAAACAATTCACTCATAATGTTCCAGAAATTGTAATTTTAAAATTAAATTACCATTCATATATTTTGTCAAAGAATGCATCACAATATCAGCTCCCAGAGTAAGAGGTTTCTTAAAAAATAAGGAAAATATTATACACAGAAAAATTATATTATATATATAAAATATAAAAATTATACACAGAAAATGTACCTATGAATTATTAACAGAAAATGTATATAGGAATTATAAACAGAAAATGTTCCACTGGAACTACAGCTAAAGAGTATAATTTTAAAAACTGTTCATAAAATTTCACAAAAATGGCAAATTTTCAAGAAAACTTCTAGTACTCAAAAATTTGAATGCAATATTAATGAATTTTCATCAAGATTATATTTTCTTTTCAAGTGCTGATAATCCATTAGTAGGAAATCAGAAAATTATAACATAGATCATAATTTCTTCCAAACACGCAAATTTAAATAAAGCCTGAACTTTTTCTTACATCATCTATTCTTTAAAATTTTTATTTAATAAATTAAAAAAATTGCATCCCTTTATGGCATTCAGTTTAACTCAAAGGAGTGAGTATTTAAGAAGAACCAAATCAAAATATTCTATCAACAGTAAAATGTTTTTAGAAAATAATATGGTTAACATAATAAAAATTAAAGTCCTAATTTTGAGTGTTTCCACAGTTTAAATCTACAAAAGAACTAAGATGCTGGTCTCAAATTGGCAGCCCATGAGAATTGTGTACACAGCTCAGAGAATCATGCATGCAGCCCATGGGAGGCTGGTTAGCTTTACGGGGCCACTGAAGCAATTTTACACGGCCCATGAATATGATTCAAATATGAATTTGCTGTATATAAGGTACTTATAATTTTAGACACAGAGACACAGATTGACTTTAAGTGCATGACTGCTGTTGAATGGAAGAGATAAAATGAATAGGTTGAGGCATTTTATGCTCGTATACCAGGTTATGTGATTGGGATAAAGTAAACCTTCCAATATCAGTGTAATCAGTAAATTTTGTTGGTCAGCCAACAACTGGTAGTGCTTCAGTATTCTGGTGTTTCCAATTTTTTTCAATGGAGTTGGTACATCTATTGTATACTTTTCTTTCACTAGTTGGCTGGGTGGTTGCAAGTTATACAGATCATATTACTATACTGATGATAAAGACAAATTAACACATGGATTTTAAATCCTGTTTATTTGTGCTTTTCATTAGATCTACCTTATACAAATACCTATGCTAGGAATTATCCATAATTTCTGAATACTGCTTTTGAACAAATTAAAAATATAGGCAACAGCAATTTCTTACAGGCTTTAGATTTCAGGTAGAAAATAAATACAATTTTGCATTTTTCCTTTGTGTTATAATTTATATTTTTTATGTAATTCCTGATAAATGTTTAATAAGTGGAATTTAAAACTTTGCTAATTATTTTTATTTTGTTCAGGAAAATATTCATTAAAAAAAATCAGACCCATCAGCTGCTTTCAGATCACGCATTTGGCCTGCATGAAATTTGAGTTTGAGACCACTGGACTAAGGTATAATAATCTTTAAAAAGTAATTATTTTTTACGATGACAAGGATTTAAAGCAGAATTTTATTTAAAATACTTATTAAACATCTCCCACTCCTCCCAGAAAAAATTTCATTTTTAAAAACTTTACTAAATTAAATTTGGCTTCCACCCCCTTCAAAACAGCCCACTCATAGATTTAGGCCCAGATCCCAGCACTTTGGCTATGACTGTTAGAACATTTATTGAAAGTTATAATCAAAATAAATCTTATTTCTTGTGGTGGTTTAAATGCACTTTATAGAATTCAAACAGTGAGTCTTCCATTAGGATTTCAGCCTAGGAAATGAAAAGAAAAAAAAAAAAAAAAAATTCATACAGTATCAACTAAACATGAAACATACCTGAAAGTAAGATGACATAAATGTATTATCTACCACTGAAATAATGCCGGGATAATGCTTCAGCAATTTACAAACTTCTTCAATGTCAACCATTTTCATTGTGGGATTTGTGGGTGTTTCAATCCAAATCATCTACATATTAAATGGAAAATAATGCAATGCAATTCAAGCAATAAAGTACTTAAATACATATAAAACAGAAAAACATGTATGACAACTTAATAAATGAAGTAGCAATCTTGGTCCTAACTAATCACAAAAAGATAAAAAGCAATTTCGGCCAGTTTAAAATTACTTGCCACGTTAGCTATAATACAAAAGATGAAGTAATAAAATAAGAATTTTCCTTTTTATTATAATTGTCATTAATTTAATATGATACTTGAAATTTGATATTAATTTATATAAATATTAGATTTTGAATTTATATACATATTAATTTTTGGCAAACAGATTGTCAGCATTTCATTATGAATGCATAATCTTCCAGGTGCATCTAATGCAAGACATTTCAATTATATCAAATCATAATGATAGTCCCTCGACCAACAAACATAACAAATAAAAATAACTGCAGATATAAATAATTTATAAATTCTCATAAATGGCTGTTTTGAAAACACAATCTTTATGAAAATTATCACATTAAAAAGATATTTTTCAGTTTCAAGAACTGGTATTTGGCAATGTTTACAACCATACAAATTTTAGAATTTCTAATATATTTTGGTACTATGATAATTTGGTCCTCAAATATTTATTTCTTTAAACTAGCACTAAGATTAATTCAGAAGGGGAAAATGTTTTAATTTTAGAACTGAACAGATTTTCGAATGACTATCACATACTTACGTATTAATGTATTCCAGTGCATTTTTAACTTAGTTTTTGCAAATAACAAAAGTTAATTATGGTAAGTCATTTAATTACTAAAACTAAAATAATTTAAATGTCACCTAAATTTTTTTACTCCAAAGCATTTCTTTTTAATCTAAATATATTTAGAAAACGCAAAATAACTAATAAGTCTCAGCTGTTGAATTTTAGTATAAAATTAGTTTTTTAATACATATACATATAATTAATAGATATATACACAAAAAAAATTTACAGCTCTAACATTTTGGCATTCAGTTGGTAGCTAGCATTTGGTAAATCTGCCCTGGAGTATGTTGGTATATTTTAATTTTCAAGTAGATACTAATTGAATTTCACGACTTAAATTAGAATTCTGCAAATTACAGTTTTATAATTTTAATTGTTACTATCATTCTCAAATCAATGTAAATGCTATCTAAACAAATAATTATTTCCCTATTAAACAAATTCCAAAAAAGTCCGGATATTAGATTGAATTTTTTCAATATAATCTAGGCATTAAATTTGAGAAAATCCTCTTCCAGGAACTCACAAATAGCATACAACAGCCATAACTTAAAAAGAATATAAATACTTATATATAATTAATATAAAATAATAATAAAAAAAATTTAAACAATTAAAAAATTAAAAGAGTTCTATATTCATTTACAACAAATTTACAAAATTAACCTGCTGAGGCATACTTTTATCAAGAAAAAACATAACATACTGAGATAAAAGATTAAAAAAAAATTATAATTTACAAAATTTCTAAATTTTTATATATTTCAGCAATTTACTATAATGCAGAATTTTGTATTTTTGAAGTGTCTGATTGTTGAAGAGAACTTTGAAACAAATTTCTTTTCTAAGAATACTTGCCAAAGAGTTAATTAGCAATCCTTGTTAACACTAATGAAAAAAAGGTTTATGAAGAGATAAGGTAATACAAAGGAAGAAAACATAAAGGAAATGCATTCCATTACTATATGATAAAACTAGATATGAAATCCCATATATGATGCACTTAATAAACAATCAAAGCATACCCACAAGTTCATATTTAAAACTAAAATATCAATTTTCCGTTTTCTTAGTAAGATAGCTTGAAAAAATTTATTAACATTTTGCGTCTTAACTTTATTTATTAAATATGATGTTCTTCGGACGTGCACCACTTAGAATTCAATTCAACAACAAAATCATAAACTATTTAAAAAAGTATATCTTTAGAATTTCTGATTGACAGTTTTTGTGTGCTGAAAATAAAAATATTTTATTTCGTACAATGTTGCCACTGATGATTTTGAAATGATTGAGTATGTCAAGCAATTTTACAAAATATGAAAGAGATTTGAAAGACTTCATGTTCTCATGTTTGAGTGTAGGACTACATTATTCAAAATTGAAGGGCTCTAGGTGCCACTGTTTTCTCACAATACATACATTTATGAAGATTCTTCATTATTTAATTTTCTTAAAAATAAAACAGAGTGATAACATTTGGTGGCAAAAATTTGAAAAATGATGCAGCTTTTTATAGTGATTCAACACTAAACCTCTTTTCGAGATTAACAGCCCATCCAGGCTGATGCCCCTTTTGGGCTTTAAAAAGGGGGGAAAAAAGATGACTGAGATAGAGTAAATGCATGTACACAAAATGCATATTACCAAAAAAGTTAACAAATCTTGAACTAAAATATCTTTCTAAATTAAGAACAATTCTCTTACCAAAAAATAATAGCTGCAGCATAATTTTCCCATTTCTTTTCATTTCCCATTCCTTTTCCATTTTTTTTTTTTTTTGCAGCAGAATTGATATTTATTCGAATGCACAAAAAGTTAAAATTTTTACTATGAAAAATACATATTATTCCTTTCTTCAGATAGCTGAAACTCAAGCTCCAAGGGGTGGGGAACCATAAAATAATCCTTTTACAAAAGTATCACTTAATTGTATCACTTCATTAATGTGCATAAATTAAGATTAATTAAGGCCTTTCTGTTCACATGTCTTCATGAAAGACATCAGAGCTTAATTAACTAATTAATTATAATAAAGCATATAAGAGCTCTTTCTGCTTGAAAAAATTTATGCCTTCATAAAAAATGTTCAAAAAGACACAACTCATGTTACATGTGAAAAAAAATCATAAAAATACCCATGCAGCCATCCCTGTCTCGAGGATGCAAACTTGGATAAAATTTCTGGAGTTCAGAAAGCAGTGGTTCCAGATCAAAGTATTTCTTTTTCTGATTTGATTCTCTGAATAGTACAGGTTTTTTACATTATTGAATATGATTAAAACTTATTTATTTACTAGATTTGTATATTTTTTTATTCTTTGTTTTCTTTATCTTTCAGTTATTAAGATTATAGTTAAATCATTGAAGAAAATAAGAAAAAATATTTTAAACAACAATGTTTATGTACCAAGTGAAAACAAATCTCATAACTAGATCAAAGCAGATACATTGTAGGATTCTCCACTGAGTATTTCCAAGTCACAGTTGAAAAAGAACCTTAAGAACTAGTAAGAGAATAATCGCTTGAGTTTGTGAGATAGAAAACAACAAGTAAGAAGGGTGAAATAACCCTTTATTATTCTAACTAAAATTTAACAAAAGTCCATCTTGGAGTTGTACAATAAAGCCGACACTTGGGCTTGAACTTAAGAGACTAGGAATTAAACCAAACTAATCTTAACTAAAGAGATATAGAAGAAGCCATCAAGATTCTAACAGAGTTCGCCCCTTAACGCTTACTGACTGCGAAGCTATCAAGGGCCTAAAGTACGGCCAAACGTAATAACAGCTTATGAGAGAGTAGCCTAAAAAGGTGAACACGTGCAGCCAGAGTATCTGGTATCTCTCTCACTATGACAGAACTTTCTGGTTAAATAACGCTTTTCCTCATTAGCATTCAGACATGATTCTAAAACTACGTTCTGGCTGGAAGTGATAAGTTGAAATTAAGAATCAATAGGAAAGGAAGTTTAACTCAAAATTTAACTGTTAATAAAATTAACATAACATAATCCTTACAACACCATTCTGAATATTAAATTGACAAATATGTGAACTAAGTTCTGGAATTAGATATTGTGCAATTGTTGGTGCTGTTAATAAAGTTATTCTTCTCTGGTAAGGAGTACTATTGACAGCATTTCAACATCAGGAGTTTGTTATATTTATTGAGTACTGTCCCTATATATTCTGCTAATATTTTATACAAATATATATATATATATATATTAGAAGGAAAGACTTTTAAACACAAAATTCTGAAATGATATAAAATTCATTTTAAATTATGTTGATTTCACAGAAAACCTTTTATTCATTTAGAAGAAGATAAGATACCAGTCCTTCAAGAACCAAAGATATTCTTCTCTAACAAAATATTTTCTTTCTTTAACATGCTGACCAATTTATCAGCCAATAAAAGTCATTCGTCAATATTGTATGTCAGCAAAGTGCTCAGCATTTACAGAAGATATTGATTTATGGGTATCAGTGTAAACCCATAAAATGTAAGGTGCTTTTTTTAATTCAAAATTATTATCAATCTAAAACTGCTTCCCATGAATATGTTTAACTTAAATTAGAATTCAAATTCTAGGTATTAAGATTTGTTTCAGGATTCAATAAGACTTTTTCCTTTTTATTCCTTACCTCCCTCTTGCCCACCAGCGGCCGAGCGGTAAAGTCGCTGAACACTGGTAGTTCGGTCCGAGGTTCGAATCCCGCGAACGGGCTGGCTGCATGGGTGTTTTCGTGGTTTTCCCCATGTGTAACGTGTATACGAGCCAGTTTCCCTTAGAAAGTCCTCCACGAAAGGCATCCCTCCTCTTAGGCAGATAGCCCTAGTGTGCTTTGCCATAATTAAATACACCACACCACCTTACCTCCCTCAGAATTCTTCCATTAATAGAGTCAGTTGTAATTGCACATTAAACAATAAACCAGTTAATTTTGCCTCACAAGCAGCTATGCTAAGATGTCATTATGAATAAGCAGCAAGAATTAACAATATTTAAATAACTTTCCCTTTGATATTTTCAGAACTTTTTGTTAAATACTGGCTTCTGTCCCAGTCTTTTTTTTTTTTTTTTTTATTTATTTTTTTTTTTTTTATCAATGTGGATTATGCAGTTCGGCAGTTATCAAATAATGAAGCATCATGATTCAATTTTTCAGAGACAAAGGTATCATCCATAATAGTTCATAAAACCATGAAATGAAATTGCATTTGATTATTACCACAGCACAGAAACAGAGCTGGAATGAAAGATCGTATTGCAAAAAGAAAGGTTTACAGCACTGATTCTGGTTAAAAAATTTATGCATTCTTTTTCTGACAGCTATTTGATTTATTTACTTCTGGTGCCAAAACCTCATGTTAGCGGAACTCTATCAACTGCAATTAGAAATGAATTACTGAACAACTATCAAATGAAATAGTTACATGCATTTGTATTTGTGAATTTCTGTATTTGCTTTCTGGAAATTATAAACTGACCCTTCTTTTCATTAAGCTGTATACATTTTTAGAGTTGCCTAATGATAATGTTTTCTCAAAAATTCACAATCCTGATATAGAGATAATAATCCTACCTCCCATCAATATCACATAACATTTGGCACCAAGTGGTGCCCTGTTAACTGAGAAATTACTCTTCCCTCTAATATATTTAATATAACAAGTCATTAAACTAACATCCTTTGTTTTTAAAATTTTTAAACACAACCAATATTCACAATCTTTTTAGTTTCACAGATTCTAGATATAAATGTTATAGGTTACAAATAACGAAATCTTTTGATAGTTCAATTACACATCAGGTATGCTGCTGGTAATTAATTAAGTAATGGTTGTTATAAAATAAAAAAAGACATGCATTAATTCAATCGTTTCTGGATTACGAGTTTTGCAATAAATAAAAGCATTAAAGTATTAGCACATCATGTTTTTGAACTACTCACAAAAAACACAACAGATGTTCTATAGTTCATATTTTTTTCAGATATACCATCTTTGTTTCAGACTTTCTATGGTGTAAAGTTAGTAAATCTACGCTGAAAAATAAGTAACTCCTTATTACAAAATAAATCTGCATTAACTAGGAATAAAAATAACTTTTTTTCCATAAATAAAATCAAAACATCTTAAGGACTACAATTATTTGTCATAAATACATAAATTTGTGGTAAGCTCTTAATAATCAGCTGTAATTCATTTAAACAACATATTTAATGATATGTAAATGTTAAATTTTCATTTTGAAAATTTAAAACCTTCCACAGTAAGCATTAAATGAGTTTATACATCATCCTCTATGATATTTCTCAGTGTTACCCAGTTAGCAGGAAGAAACATAAGCAGCTGTCGTAAATTGTCCAATGAAAAAATGCACTAAAACATTTTTCAAAATATTAATATAAAAAAATAAGCAATTCCAGTACATGGAAAAACACAAAATTCTTTAAAATAGCTAAGTGTATCAAATAGTTAATTTTTCTACATAAGTTAAATATTTAAAAAATTAATTCAAACCTTCCAGAAGTAAAATTATGCAATAAGAGATTGCAATATTAAAAAGCTGATACACACAAATTAAACTTTTGACTTTGAACATGCCCAAATAGTATTAACCACAATTAAAAAAAAAAAAAAAAAAAAAAAAAAAAATTCCTATAAGATAAATTATGACAAATCACAGAAAATTTTAATTCTAATTTCAAAAATAAAACTCATGTTGAAAAATACCTTAGTATTGTGCTGTATAGCATTTTCGACACTTTTAACATCACGCATATCTACAAATGTTACTTCAATTCCCATTTTGGAAGCACAAGTTCTAAAATACCTATTCGTTCCTGAAATATAAGAACCTTTTTAGAATTATTTTTTAACAGTTTCTACTAACTGGCATACACAAGCTCCTCATTTATTAGCCTGATAATTTAACATATTCCTAAATGAAACAAAATAGTATAAAACTGTAGATATTATGTACTATTATTCAGTATAAAACTGTAGATATTATTATCTATTTTACAAATAGATAAGAGTAATCCAACAGTAATATTCCAATAATGAATCAGTTAAGGTAGATAATTTTACATTAAAGTACAAAAATTCAATAGACATGTAAATTATATTACACAAGGAATATTAAATTGTAGTCACACAAACATAATCTTATTTTCTTCCGCTGAGCAATTTTTATATACTTTTCTGAATTTACTGCTATTTACTTAAGAAAATGCAGAACTAATAACCATTACTATATTTTATTAAAATTTAGAGCTAATATGCTGCTCTTTCTAAAGCACTTTCTCCAAAAGACAATATGTTAGTGTACTTGTATGTACTAGCATTGGCAGGATATCACTAGGTAACTGGTACAGCCAGAAGTGAACTTGAAAACAACAACACAGAAGTTCTTAAAAATTTACCTTGCTAGTAACAAATAAATCTGCATATTGTATCAAATATATTAAGAACAATGATAACATCTAAACTGGGACTATGTTTGAGCTGGCATATGCCATAAACTGATATTTTAATAAATTTAATACCTTATACAATATTTATTTGAAATCGTGATGATAATTTGTTTAAATGCTTAAATAATATTTCATATTAAATGTATTGTACTCAAGGCCCAATTAATTTACTATTTTAAACTAGAAAATTATATATTTTAAATGCTGAATACTGGTAGTTCAATTCAGATTCTAATTCCAGAAAACAGGATATCTTCTTGAGGAATTTTATTGCTTTTTGCACATGTAACATGAGCCAGTTTCCCAAAAAAGTTAGGCAAAAAAGATCCCTCCTATAGTTGCTAAGATCAACTAAATGCAGTGATTTATTTTGTTACTCTTCTGTTTTCTAACATATTACGAAGTCCACAATCTGGGTATCCAATATCCAGAAAGATCTAATATCTGAACCTCTGGATCATAAGCAACTAAAAAAAAGGGGGCAAGAAAATTAGAAATAATTATATTTTAAGAGTAGCATCTGGCTTTAACATATGCTTAATGCTTCACACGTGCTCAGCAGAACTATTTCTCAGGTTAAGAATGCAGAGGGTCTTGACAATTTCATTTTGGCACTATATGAAACACTCCATGTTGAAGAAACAATCATTTATTAGCATAAATGCTATGAAATGCAAAAATGGCTATGAAGCCAAATTGTTCATCATACGATGAACAATTTGGCTTCATAGCCACTTTTGCTTTGCATGCATCTGAAAAACAAAACATTTTATCTGATTGCGTCTGCCATCATTGATTTTACACCTAATGCATAACTTATATCTCCGACACCTACAATAAATAATTTGGTAAATAATAATAGTAAATAATTTTTTGCTCTCATCACCACATGAATTACTATCAGCTCACTGTAGCAATAAAAAATAAATCATGCAAGTAATGTCTAAAACAATTTTTACTTAGCAAACAGCAACTTAGTACTTTTCTGTTATTGGGACCAGAATCAGAAATGCATATATATATGCACATGTGTATATATGTATGTGCATATACACACATACATGTATGTACATACATATAAATACATGAATACACACATGCAAAATTTTTAGAGCTCATTTTTTAAAAACTACTCGCACGCTTTTTACAAAACTTGGCAATTTGGCATAATTTGAGTCGTAGAATCGAAATATGGAAAAAAAAAAATCGGCATGTCATTTCAGAAAAAGTCCGATTTTGTGTCAAAATACCTATATTAGAACAATGCTATACATAAATCTAATTCATATCCTAAATCGCACTTTCGAGACATGAAAAATGCAATTTGAGTTTCGTCAATCGGCCCAGTAGAATGGGAGATATAGAACTGCCTCTTTTTTTTTTTTTTTTTTTTTGGTGTGTGTGTGTGTGTGTGTGTCTGTGTGTAGTGTACATTCCTGAGAAGCGCAAACAGTTTCATTTCTGCTGTGCTCACAGCTATATTAATTTTAAAGCAAATGATGGCCACCAGGATAACACAAAACACATTATATGAAAGCAGTTTAAAAGTAATGCTCTAAATTTTATTTCAGCCAGTTGTTGCTTACATTCTTTCTGTGTAAATTCCTTGCTTCCCAACGACAAGTTGGGATCCATTGTCTTGGAAGATTTGCTATTTTTCCTAGAATACTAGTTTTATTCAGTCTTTGGACAGCTTGGGTAACTACTGAAACTTTTTTATGGACGAAAAATGCTGTCCATGTTGTGTTCTTTAAATTTGGAGAAGAATTTGAAATCGAGATTTTATAGTCCTTTTACATATGAGCTTTAAAGTTTTTTCTTCATCCTGAAACATATCGGATCATTTTTGAGTAATTTTCTTCCCATTTTCTGCCACTACTCACACTAAAATACTTCAGTTAAACTTTCTGCACATGAAACCCACTTATTCACATTCCACATCTTTTGCAATAATGCCTTGGTAATCCGAGGGAGAGATCATCATTGACTTAACCAATGGTTGAAGATGTTGAAATTTTTGGGGTCATGGAGAAGATGGACTCCACTTGATTGACAATGATTTCAATTCTGTAAAAATTTTTAATTCAAGTTTTGTTAATAGCTGTTATTCCCAATAGAAATCTTTCAGGTTTATAATCCAATCTTTGTTTCAGTAACATTGCATCAAGCAATAAGTGACTAACTAAGCACAAACCTTTTTCTTCTGATACACAGCTTCTGTCAAAATATTGATTCTAGTGAAATCCCATTAGCTCATGATTTTTCTCGCATGTTACTTGAACTCTTTTCTTTCTAGTCCTACACAAATATCGCATTAAGTTAGAGCTTATGCTAGGCTTTCTGGCTCCTGATGGTTCTAAAATTTTTTGTCTCTTTATTCTGTCATCTAATGCAGCTTCACCAGTTGTCCCAGTTCTAATACCTACACTACAATTCTTAATCTGTTGATATTTTGTTATTTCTTAATCTCTAATTATCTTATATGCCTAGCATGTTCTTCACAGAAGCTTAGTAGCCCAAAGGAATGTTGTACGATTATTCACTTCCTGATTAAAATTTCACATAATGTACTGTGCAATTCTGATCGATTTTAGCCCCATAAACATTTCATATTGAACAATGATCTTTCATTTTCTAAAGTTTCCCCATACGTCTTTAGACTTCATTAATAGAATTATCGCTTTAAACTGCTTAAAAAAGTTAAGTATACCTTTACTTTTAGCCTCATAACTTGAGTTTCAAATAATACAAATAATGCGATCTCTTTCACAGTTTTCCTACATAGAGTGCAGAGCACATTTACCAAACATGAATGGAAGATTTGAAGGCATTGCCATCAAATCTGGAACCCAGAGCTAGCTGGTCTTTTATCACATGTGCTCACACTAAAAATATTACATAATTTATGAAAGGTACACTGTGCAAAAAAAAGGGGGGGACAGTTCTATATCTACCGTTCTACTGAGCCAATTGACGAAATTCAAACTGCACTTTTTCATGTCTCGAAAGTGCGACTTAGGATATATATAAGATATATTACATAGCACTGTTCTAACATAGGTATTTTGACACAAAATCGGATTTTTTCTGAAATAACATGCCATTTTTATTTCATATATCGATTCTACGACTCAAATTATTCCTAAATATTAAATTTTATAAAATTTAGTGTGGAACTTAAGGACAAATTCAAAAACTTATCTTGCCACATTTTTTTCAGTTAGTGCCAAGAATAGTTTACTTGGTGAACTTCTTAATATATGGCAACCTATTTTCCTTTTGCTTCCATCGTGCAGGAGTGGGAAAAAAGTCACACCGTTCCTAGCATTTTAATTGGCATGAGCTGAAAAAAATCACATTGTTCCTACTTTCAAATAGTTTTAACAAAATGCCTAAACCACATTTGATGTTATTATCACTTTCAACAAATATGCCAAATTTCAAAACATGCCAATATATAAATTCATGTATATCATCGGAAATTTTGAATAAAAAAACTGTTATTTTTTGCAGGTATGCTTAGAAATACATCTACTTTAAAATGACGGTAAAAATTTTATACGTTATAACTCAAAATTTGTTCAAAAAAAATTATAAAAATTACTTAAAAATAGAAATTTTAAAAATAAATCATCAAAAATGGGCGAATTTTATTTGGAATGAACCTAAATTTTTGAAATTTGAAAGGAAGAATCAAATAAGTTTAATACAAATAATAATAATAATAAATATATACCAAATTCAATTAACACTGAGAAGCTAAAATTTTGAGAGGTAATTTTTTTAATCTGCTCGAGCGGGTTTTTACAAAATTTGGCAGTTTAGCATAATTTGAGTGGTATAATCGAAATATGGGGAAAAAAAAAAAAAAGGAAGCATCCCATTTCAGAAAAAGTCCAATTTTCTGTTACATATCCTAAGCCGCACTTTCGAGACATGAAAAATGCAAGTTGAATTTCATCAATCGTCCCAGTAGAACGGGAGATATAAAGTTGTCCAATTTCCCCCCAAAAAAAGTCCAATTTTCTGTTACATATCCTAAGCCGCACTTTCGAGACATGAAAAATGCAAGTTGAATTTCATCAATCGTCCCAGTAGAACGGGAGATATAAAGTTGTCCAATTCCCCCCCCCCTGCAGTGTACATAATAGGAAAAAACAAGCTGAAATTAAAAAAAAAAAAAAAAAAAAAATGCATGTATTCTGTACAAACGTCAGAACTCTTCATTCTTCAACGAATATGTAGCCTTCAAGAATAGCTAGATACTTAACACTTTTAAAGCTCACTTTCCTGGCATAATTTGGCAAACACATAAGGTAATTACAGAAGAATAGTGCAAAAAGAAATCATGTTTGTGATCCCTATCA